CCTGCAGTCTAGACCTGTCATTGAAAACATTTGGCGCATCATGAAACAAACAAATACAAAGGTGACCCCGAACTGTTGAGAAGTTAAAATCTTATATCAGGCAAGAATGGGACTTATTTTCTTACTCTTTACAAAATGCTGTTAAAAGAATTGATCAACACTGTGGTAAATACTGTATGCCCCTGTCCTTGTTTTTTGAACTGTATTGCTGGCATGAAATTCAATCTGAGCATATATTTATCATAAAACAATTCATTTTCTATTTCACCATTTGATATTTTGTCTTTATTCTATTGTCAATTAAATATGGGTTTATATAATTTGTAAATCATTGCATTCTGTTTTTATTTAAATTTTACATAGCCTCCCAACTTTTTTGGAAATAGGGTTGTATACAGTACATTGTCTATATATTTATATCCTTTCATACAGTCCCGCTGGACAAAACGCAGAAAAGGCGCAGGAAGCCAGGAGTTAGGGCAAACACGGAGTTTAATAGACTCAACAACACAAGGAGCAAGCAACACACGGGCTGACGGACTGGGGAAACAAACACGAGAGGAGCGGACAATCGGGGCATGACAGGACCCCCCCCCCCCAAAGGCGCGCACTCTGGGCGCGCCCAAGGGGAGTGGAGTGACGGGGATCGGGGACACAATGGCACCTGGGGAGACAAAAGGAACAACATTAATGCACCACGGGGAACAACACAGACACAAAGAACTGGCACAACGAAACCAACCCGAACAACAGACGACACACCACAGGGAACGCAGACACACACAGGGGCACCAAAAAAGGAAACATGGGACCGGGGGACACTAAAGGAGACGAAGGGACCACACCAGGGGGCATACCTACAGGAGACACATAGGGACGAACAGGGGGTGTGGACACAAACAGACAAGAAGGACACATGGGAGGCACAAAGGAACCGAAAGGGGACAAAGGCACAGAGGGACACGGAAAAGACGCAGGGGGCACAAAGGGACCAGAGGGCACTGAGGGACGAAGGGGAAACACAGGGGGCACAAAGGGACCAGAGGGGAGCAATGGCACGGAAGGACGGGGAGCAAACATGGAGGGCACAAAGGAACTAAAGGGGAACGATGTTGAAACAGGATGGGGAGTGAACACAGGGGCCAAGGGATCTAAGGGCAGGGGGCAACAGGGAGCAGAGGGGACCTTCTGTGGGTGTGACTTAGGGCATGTTGGGGCAACAGGCCTCTGTGGGGCTGGAACAGGGGCTGAGGGCGGCGAGGATGCAGGTAAAGGGGCTGGTGGAGATGGCGAGGAGGGACCTGAGGGGAGAGCCGTGGGCGAGGGACCCGCAGGCTGTTGAGGGGACGCCGATGGTCGGGCCGTGGCTGGCTGAAAGGTGCCCTGGGTAAGGCTGGGGCCAGCCCCTGAGATGGAGCCTGGGGGTGTAAGGGTGATTGCAGGAGTCTACCCCAGTGTTGGTGCCCCTTCCCTTTCCGGGAGACCGAGAGGCGGCAACCTGGCTGCGAACCACCGTGCCGGTGGTTGGGGTGACCCCCTGGAGGGGTCCACAGGCACAGTCAGGGTGATCCCCGAGGGGTCCCACTCCAGCTCCTCCTCTAACTCCATTGTGGAGGAAGGAGCAGGGGTCAGGTCATCAGCGACCACCTCGGGGACTGAGGCCGAGGGAGCTGGGACCCGGGGGACCGAGGCTGAGGGAGCCTGGGCCGGGACATTGGGCGTGGGCGGAGCCTGGAGCTCGGGCACAGCAGCCGAGGCCGCAGGGCCTGGAGCCACGGGAGCTGGGACCCCGGGTGGCGCAGCTGCGGGCAGAGCCGGGGAGCACAGGAGTCTCAGGGACCGCTGGCGGCTGCACAGGAGTCTCAGGGACTGCTGGGGGCTGCACAGGGGACTGGGCAGGAGGAGCAGGAATGGCCTCGGGTGGTGCAGCAGCAGCAGGGACCTCGGGCGGTGCAGCAGCTGCTGCCGATACCGGAAACACAGGGGAAGCAGCCGCAGGCACCCGAGCCACCGTGGAAGCAGCCGCAGGCACCGTGGAAGCTGCCCGGTTTGGGAAATTGGGGATCCGCGGGATGGAGTCCCAAATGGACCTGGCCCCTTTAAGGACCAGGCGCGTCCCGGAAAAGGGGAAAGCTGCAAACATGGGCAGCGAAGTAGCGTGCGGACAGTCAGGGCAGGCGATAGCAGACACGAACACTGCCGGGTTTAGAACAGGGAGGGGGTCCTCCTGACACCCAGCCAAGGAAGCAGCGGAGAGAGAGAGAGCCCCCCAGACATACCTCCTGGGCATCTTCCTGCCTGTGTCTTCTCCGCTTTTTTTCCAGCTGTCCTGTGGCATGCGCCGGTGCTTCGGGTACCTCCATTAAGGCAGAGAGCAGACCAAAAGGCAGTCCGCTGGTGAGGGCTACCTTCTGCATATTTGCCTCCGCTACCCCGCGTCTCAGTCGCCACACGTTATCGCGCACCTCTTCTGTGATGTATGCGTCTCCGGGTAGGGACGTCTTCTCTAAAATGTCCCTGCTCTGGCTGGCTATTGCCAGAAGCAGGTGATCCTCCTGGACTTCGGGCTGGCGAAGCCAGTATAAAACCTCTTCCGCGAGGTTGAGGTATTCCGCCTCATTTATTCCTGGGTTCTTGTTTGTGAGTCCGGTCATTCTGTCCCGCCGGACGGTGCACGGAACGCAGAAAAGGCGCAGGAAGCCAGGAGTTAGGGCAAACACAGAGTTTATTAGACTCAGCAACACAAGGAGCAAGCAACACACGGGCTGACATAACAATGACCGGACTGGGGAAACAAACTGAAACGCGGACTAAATGCACTGAACTAATGACAGTAACTGGAAACAGCTGATGAACACGGGGAATCCACATGGGGTTAATGAGGGGGCGTGGCACACGAGAGGAATGGACAATCATACTATGCTCATGTTGTGCATAGTGTCTGACCCCGTCTATAACAGCTGCTGTAACACCTAAATGCCCCTTCATGCAAATAACAAAGTTCATCTTATCTTACACCTTATGGTGTCTTCTACAGCTGCCATTTACTTCATTTGCTACCACATGGTGTTGCTGCTTCTTTTCGAGGGCAATTTTTTCTGAAAATGACACCAAGTGTAGATCTTCATCCATGTATTGTTTTTCTGAAATAATGGGAATATTTCAAATACATGGAATACTTTTTGACTTATGACTATCAATGGCCAAATGTACCTTCATGAACCATATGCTGTGTTCTCTAAATCCACTAGATGCTGCTCTCTGTTGTATTTCCTGAATCCACTAGATAGTGGCCTCCGTTCAAAAAAGGGCTCAAACCATGCGCCAAAACAACCTGAGAGCACCACACTGTGCCTTCCTGTCCCCATCTGCATGCTGAACTTCAGTGATGTGTAATTTTAGGAAACCAATGAACACACATTTACTGATCTGAAAAGAAAAGAAACCTGACATTTTGCATTATATTTTGTAGCATAATGGACAAACTAATCCTAATACTCTGAAATAAAAGTACACTATCTGTCTCACTTGTATATTACAAGTGACAGGGTCTGTGGAAGAATAATAATGACTTATGATCATAATGATTTATGATCTTATGATTGTTATTAGTTAATTTACAAATTATAACATACATATTATAGCATGAAGCATTGCGATGCATAAACTCAAGAATGTTAAATAATAATGTTATGACACATTGTCACTTTTATAATCATCGATATAGTAAAGAATGACTACAAACCATGATGTTGTATAATTTACTGCTGTTTTACTGATGTTTGCTTCTTGAATTAATGATTCAGCAAAAGGCTAATCCCTGCTGTAATAACTGGTTTCCTCAATGTAATTGAGCTATGGTATTAAGCCTGTAGTATTTTTCCTTTTTAACCAATGGTTGAGCAAGTCAGGGGATGGTATAAGGCAGGTACCGTGGAGATATAGGGGTTATTACAAAAAGCTATTTGGGAGGTCAGCCGGTCCCAACCCAGGCTGGTTAGGTGCAATTAGCTATATGGATAAAGTGGTAGGCAGCACTGGGAGATGGGAGAATAGTGGTAATTTGAGTAGAGAATGTGTGGAGCTCTGAAGTTGGGACTAAGAGCAGTCGTAAATTGGATTTCCCCAGGGTTTCTTATTTTTCTTTAATTATTACAGCCTTGTAATCTTTTATTTCATATGGCATGATCTCGCTGAGAGGTTACCAAGAGTTAGACCACCTGATGCAGGAGGCAGAGTGCTTCAACCAAGGGCATAACTTTGGTTTTACAATTGGGGGGCTTGAGATCTCAACCCATTTAGTGGGAGACATGATTATTTGGGGGGAGTGTTGTATTAGTAAGTCTTGTTTATTGGTTTTGATAAGTTATGTCCATGCCTTGAACAGTGCCTTCTCGCTGCCTCTGATGAGGGAAATACGTACTGCTCTGTGGTTTGTGGGAGATTGAGTACATGGTGTACTTAAATGTAACACTTAACTTGCTTGGTGAGGTAGTGGCATGTCTCCAGTTGGAAACGGACGCTTCTGGGCTAATTTCATTTTGCTCATGGGTTTTGGGGTACGCTGACAGGCACGCTTATTCTATCCACCCATTGTTTCCACCCATTTAAAAAATGCCTTTCATAAAACTGGCATCACCTTCAAAACAATTCCTTATGACATGCTACCAAATTCCATAGCAATTGTCACTGAAGCCCCAGGCAAATGAGCAATAACTGGCATTCATAGTTTCTGATATCTCATCTACAAACAAGCATACGTTAAGGGGCTGATACTCGTGTATGAATGGCTTGTGTAGCTGTAATAATATAAAGGTGACACATTCAGTGAAACATTTGCTCTTTTAGTTTTAAAGATTTAGACTGATATTCAAAAAATGATCCAACTTTATTATACGTATTTCAATTTACAAGCTAAGCCCAATCAAACAAACATAGAGCGCAGGTACTGCTATAAGAGGAACACAAGCCGCACTCACTCACTGTGCACCCCTGTCACGCGACAGGTACTGTTTCGTCACAGTGGGATCGAAAAGGGCGGAGGGTGTTTTAGTTAAGAGAAGGAACGATCATCTAGCTTAATTTAGAAGGAAGGATAGAAAATACGTTATCACATTTTTGCGTGTCTGTTTCATCTATCATCGACCTTAAAGTGATTTTTTTTATACCTACAAGGTTAAACACCTGAATTTCACAGATCTATTGCTGGTCTGTTTGGTTACTTTTTTGTTAATGAAGTGTTAAGCACTTTTGGATTCTGCCTGGAAGTATTAGCCATAGCAAGGGGATGAGCTCGGTTGCATTTCAAAATAAGGTACGTGTTTCCTTTATTTTAAAATGTGTATCAGTTTTATCAGTTGCCTCCCAATTTACTTCTCTTCGCTACTGATGTGAATGTTTGTTAAAAACAACAAGCAATCACGCAAGCAAGCAAACCGTATCTGAAAACCCATCAGAGTTTCTGCAGAGTATTGTTTAAGGTGGAGCTGTAACTGACGCCCCGATTGTACCGACGTCTGATTTCGCTTATTAAAAGTACTTTTAAAATGACACCTAAACAGTTATAGATGTTTTAATAGACCTGTATTTCTGTTCAGTTTATTGTGTTCACACATAAAGGGTAGAACTATAAAAATTCTTTATCAAATACGTTAAAACATTTTCAAAAATAATGACCCATTTTATGTTGATCATACGAATCATGATTTCTTGGGTAATTTTGATCTTATCGGACATGGTGAAAATGTACTATAATACACATTGTTTTGATTTCCTTTATGTGCTATAATTAGGGCAATATGGTGGCCCCAGAACTGAAGGGTTTTGGGTTTGATTCCTTTACTGTGTGTGTGTGTGGAGCTTGGTTGTGTGTTCAGCTAATGTTCTCTGTCAAAAAAACATTTCAGATGAAGTGTTATATAAATTGATCATGGTGTGTGATCTCTGCGATGCATTGGCATGTTGTCATTTGCTTCCTGGGATGGGTTTCCAGGATTATCATCTAAGCTTTACTGCAGAAATGGTATGGGATGTAGATGTGATTAGTTTGGGATTATCAGTTTTGTATAGTTTTTGTAGTTTGAAATATTAATTAGTCAGAAACAAATCTGATATAGTAATCAATGTGGGCCTCAGTAAGATCTAAACTGAACAACACTGAATACTGAAAGTTTGGTTGTCATATCTGTTTTTTATATTTTGGTTAAATGCTAAATGCCGACGAACTTTCAAATATACACATTGCATCCTTTTCCGGTTTAAAATTAACCAGATTTTGTATTTAGGCTGTGTACATGCCAGGCTACAAATGTAGAGTCTTTATGAAAGGTAATATTTAAAAAACACAGATGCCACCGAGAATGGTCTTCACAATCAGCATAATCCTGAATGGATTTGCATGTACTGAAGATGAATGTATGGCTGTATAACTCAACTCTATAGTGTGTGTTGAGGTATTTGGGGCTGATTTGGTCCTTACTATTGTTGAAACCAAACCTACACCCTTTGATAATTATATAATGTATTTCTGAAGTGATCATTGAATGTCATTTATTTCCACCTCCAAACTTCCTCTCTTTATAATCTATTGTATAGGCTGAACTAACAAGCACTGCAATAGTGTCTTGGGTTGACACCAATACTTGCCTCCATCTATATATTGACATTGAACAAATATTGAAGGCACACATGAGTAGCATTGGGTGTCCCATCAAAAGTGCTATCACTCCTGAGTAGGCCTTGAAAAGACTGAAACACAGGTCTTCCACACTGGGGGCTGCAGCCCAAAGTATGTTACTGGTAAGCCAAAGCAAGGCTTCTAGGACCATCAAACTTCCGCGTCCCGGTGAAGGTGCATCCTCATGTTGCTGTTATATCAGATCTTCAGTGATTACTGGAAGAAGGTTTGTATATTGGGACTGACCACCTGTGGAATTGTGGGCTCTCATCAACACCTGTTCTGACCTCAGTGTAGCTGTTTGGCCTGTGGCTAGTTATCCCATGGTGAATATTTAGCTCTGGTTTACAAAGAGTCTTGGGGTTACTGCTCTGTATTTGGTCCATATTTCAATTTGCAAATATCATTTGTGTAGATTGGATGTGGAGGAATGAAGCCTTTCTCTACTCTGGAGGTAGTAGGGGTGTCTTATGACTGCCCTATGAATAGATGCAGAAAACATAAGAAATTCACCGAGACAAGTTGCTTTTTTTTTTTTTTTTTGCTTTGCCCTTCCAAATTAATGAAACCAATAATTTTCTTACACTAATCTGGGAATGCCTCCATCTTGTATTTGTACTGAATGCTTGTGTGAGGAATAAACCTGGGGAAAATAATTAACAATGCTTTAGTTATTGAGCAGTCCTTCTATCCATCCTGTTGAGATCATGTCACATGGTGATTTCCTTTGAGTGATCTGGTATGATTTTAAATACGGTTCCTAGAGACTGCTGTAATACAGTAGTCATATGTTATGATAGGTGGGCATGTCATTCCTAGACCTGTTCTCTGCTGGAAATGGGCAGAACAAAACCTGAGATCAGCTTACCATGTGTAGTTCAAAAGACTGTAGTTTTTTTGCCTTCCTGCCAAATAGGCATTCAGGTCTGAAACAGAACTTTCATATTATTCTGTGTGTTTAAGTATGTAATTGCACTGACTGCATAGCTGATTCTTAGTGAACGTCAGTGAAGAAAAAATGACAGTGGGTTAGGCAGGTGTTATAAAATGCACCACAGATCTAACAGAACAGAACCTTTTGCATCCCCAGCTGCCTTTAAACTTACAGTAGTACAGCATGGAAAGTGATGTGTCTTGGGCACATTGTCGATGTACTGTTTCCAGTATGGCCTCGTCTCTGAAGCGACTGGTTGAGAGAAAGGTCACCATGCCAAAGAAAGAAAATTGAGACTTACCGGTTTACACCCCACTGTGCAGCAGAAGGTGCAACGGTGATTCAAGGGTTGGAAGAGCAGCCGTCCTGCTCTGCAATAGGATACCTAAATGCATGCTGCAGTGGCAGGTCTGTGATAAGAATGTACATTTTGCTATGGACTGCAGATCTGATTCACACAGAAATTTCTGACCCAAGCTCATTACGGGGAAATGGGCAAAGGTCCATTTAAAGGGGGCTGTGCAGATCTAAGCAAAATGGCCATCAACCAATGGTGGTCAGCTTCTTGGGAACAGCCAGCCTGCATGTGTCATGTGGCTTTCACGGTACCAAAATAAATACTGTGAATAAACTGGCCTTCAACCAGGGCTGACCATGTCAGGGGACCCTTCTAGACTGCATTCCATAGTTGGGCATCCTAACCAAACTGGAAATTATGCTGACTAGTTGAATTGTAGTTTGAATTGATCAATTTTATATGCACAGCACCCTGATGCTCAACCTGGGGAGAGTGTAATTTCATCATGGCAGGCAGGGAAAACAAGTGCATTATTGGTTGTCTTGCCCTGTGATATGTGGGAGTTGCATTTGACAAAAATACATTCAGAATATATGTAGTCAGTCAGTGATTTAATCAGACCTCTCAAAAGAACAGAACTAGATGTGAAGAACCATTCACTTCATCAGAGAGTCAGTCACACAGGCCAAACCTGTGAAATTCAGCTGGTCTGTACATTATAAGGCCATGTCTCTGATGCTTTGGAGCAGCTCTGTCACGGAAGCAGATTTTGCAGGGGAGCTGGCGAAATTGCTTGTTCTATCTAGCTCAGGGGTGGCCAATCTTATCCGCAAAGGGCCGGTGTGTATGCAGGTTTTTGGGATAACCTGTAGGTCATCTGATCAAACCCAGGTGTGAGGACTCTTCAGCCAATCAGTCCTCTAATTAGTGACCTAATTAGGGAGTTGCAGCGAAAACCCGCATACACAGCGGCCCTTTGCGGATAAGATTGGCCACCACTGATCTAGCTGAAGGCTCCTGCTGCTTGAGAAGCTGAAGGTAGCAGAGAATGGAGCAGATGGCCGCCTCTTCCACTGTCCCATGGCTTGGTTAGGTGTATTGGTGAGAAAGGAGTAATTTTTTGTGTGAACCACAAAAGGCTAAATGCAGTTTGCATGCAAAGATGCCTAGCCTCTCTCATACATCAGTCGATTTCTGCTGGATCTCATTCAAGCCACTTGTTGTGGCCTTTAGCCTAGCAGCTGAGATCATCTTCGCTTGTTTGAGAAATGCTTTCACCTTTGGCAGGTTAAACGAAGAAAATTTTCTCACCACATTCTGGTGGCTAATGGGAATGCCTGGGAGTCAGTGATTCCCAACCTGGCCCTCGGGGACCCCCAGACAGTCCACCTTTTTACTCCCTCCCAGCTCATAGTGGCAAAAACAAGGACTGTCTGGAGGTCCCTGAAGACCAGGTTGGGAAACACTGACTTAGATGACCTGCTGCTCTGTTCATGAAGTTTCAACTCTACATAGGGAAAAAAAACTCAAGGCCATTATGCTTTAAAACTAATATCAACTCATACCCCCCACAAGACTACTGTCTCCTTTTCATGCTTTTCATAATGAAATAAATTATTTTAAAATGTGGTCAAAAATATTCTTCATGACCTGGAAGAACAAAAGGAAATTTCTTTTTTGTCAGTGTATTGCTTTTTCAGAAATGATAATGTTGGATGAACTCAAATTATAAATACTAAAATCACAGAAAAGCTTATTTCTTACGTACCATTTCACTTAAGTAGAACATGACCTGTTCTGTACCCATTTGAGTCATTTTGGTATGCCATACAAAACATGAAAATTGTGTATAATTTTTAAATTCATTCCAGCAAGGCAAAAAAAATGAAATGGGGTGGGCAACCTCAAATTGCTTATCCTTGAAGTATTTGTTAAGGATCAGCAGAAACCACCTGCATGTAATCTGTTATGTTTTGTGGTTGTGGTAGTAATGGGAGGCTGAGTTTGCATAGCTTTCATTTCATTTTGGCTCTGACTACAGTTCTTCTACAGCTTGTTATCAGTTGTCTGGTGTCTGTAGCAGGAACACAAATTAGATATTTTGTAACAACAAAAACTGAAAATGAGCCTCTTATTTACACACAGTCTGTGTAATTACACATTTATGCTGTGATCATTAAGCTGTGTATTTGATTTTCATTTTGTAATGGGTTCTCAGACTTTGTTTTGGTCCTCAGGGTTACATTTTATTTATTTGGCAGACACTTTTATCTAAAGCAATGTACATTTCTTTAGGAAAGCAGGGTCCGAAAGTCCCCGGAGCTGCTGCCTTTTTCAAGGACTTTTCAGTGAAATCACTCTGCTGAGCATGGTAGTTGAACCTGAGACCTTCCAGTCACAAGCACC